TCTGGGAGTTGAAGTCCACACATCTTCAAGTTGCCAAGGTTGAGAAACACTGGACTATAGGTAGGCATGGGACCCTTTTTCAGGTTTAGTCTATGCCAGGTCTCCCCCAAGGGCTTGCCAGCAGCTACTTTTATCCCATGAAGCCTCATTTTATTGAACTCAGTGAGCAACGCGGTGTATCCAATATTGGGGAAAGTCTCTTGATTTGGAGACTAGGGCCCTGGGGACTGATGTCCTTGATGTGATGTCTGCCCTACAAGGTAGTCCCGATGAAGAAATCAACGCGATATAGATCAGGACTACTTTTATTGTAAAGCTATAATAACCGAATCTTGCACATCTGAATGGGCTTCCCCCCGCCCCCTTTATCTTTGTGTGAACTAGCGAGGGGCTTGTCTGAGACATTTACTCACGTTACTTTCTTGACCTGGGCTCAAACCCCGTTTATCTGACCGTTTGCCTTCCTCTGATCCTTCAAGGCCATTCCCTTTTCCCTCTACATCCAATGATGTCCGTGCCCATCTTTGGTGTGATGGTATCCCCACCACTGTCTTGTTTCTATAACATCCCCACCCAAGCGATGTAAATCATGGTGGATACTCGGTCCCTTGTAGGCGAAATCCGTTGCACCGAAATCCCCCAAAACAGGTTTTATGGTATGTTATCCCTTGCAGGACATGTTTTCCTGTGGTGATCTACCACCTAGCGATCTAACCAGCAAGGCAATGATAACAGAGGATAAAGAAAGGCAAAATAAACGGACAGGAAGGCACTGTCCACTAGGCTGTCGTCATTCCAGTCCTTCAAGAGGGGCAGAGTTGTGCCAGCTTGAAAGAAGAACCTTTGTGTAAATAAAAGATAGTTTGGAAGGCGATGAGTGAGAAAGCGATGGCAAGCGATGGGTAGTTTTTTCAGAGAAACACGGTCCTACAGCACTAGTGCGTGCGACACACTTCTGAGAGTCCTCTCCATCTTCTTTCTCCTGGAGAGGATTTCATTGTTGCATCTTTTACGGATTTTGAACCACCAGTATCCCCCACCCCCAATTTCATCCTCTTCCTGTTGGCAGCGGTAATACAGAGACACGTCTAAATCCCATTTGTCCATCTCTCCCTCCCTCTGTTCCAGAATCATTCCTTAAACCCTTCCCCTGATCTTTTTATCTCCTCCTTTTATCTTTATCCCCGGTTTTCCCACCCTCTCCCCAAGACCTGGACCTTAATGATGACCAGCGATGATCTGTTTTTGTTTGGGGAAGCGCAGACGCCACTCAGTGAAATAAGAGATGCGGCTGAACGCTTGGAATTAACCACGGCTGAGCGTTAAGCCCGATTGGGGAGTGTGTCTGTGTGTGTGTCCCTGTGTGTGTGTCAGCTCTTCAGATCTCCCCCCCCTTCCTGTTCTCCATCACTCATCTTGAATGCTGAGAGCTTCTTTCCATCCGAATGATTGGTGGTTCCCTGTGGGTTTCGCACCGCAGCGAAGGGGGGCTCGGATCAATGGAAAACCCAGCGGTTTGTTTTGAAAAGCAGCGAAGCCCCTGAATGCACAGGGAAATGTCAAGAGATTTGTGCTCTTCTTGTTTTCTCTGCAACGTTGGCAGCACAAAGATAAAATTATCTTCGGCAATATACCAGCAGACAGCTTACCCGTAATTGCATGCGCAGAGTGGAGAGGGGTGGTTTTTATTGCTAGATTGCACTTCCCATTTTTCCTCCGAAAAGCTCCAAGCCAAATTGTTTTCCCCAGCCTGTTTTTATCCTTACAGCAGCCAGTAACAAACAGGGCGTTGCGTTCCCATCCTTTGAGACAGACGGCCAACACAAAGGGGCAAAATCCGTGCACTGCTTTAAATAAATTTTAAAATGTCGGCTTCTCCCAATTTCTCCTTTTGGCAAACAGGCCAGGTTCAAGCCATCAGCCGTGAGAATTTTGGTAAAGGTTCACACCCGTTGCTGGCCCGTCTTTGGGAGAGCATTTCTCCCAAGGGTGGGCATTCTGCTGAGCATGGCGCAAAATGGGCAGAGGGCTTGAGCGAATCTCTTCCCTTCGCATCATGGAGGCTGGCGCAAACTTTTCTCTCCTGCTTTTTATTTTATAAGGAGGGGAGAGTTGCATGATCACCTTGGGAGAGGGGTGCATCGGGAATGCTGGCTAGGTTTCGGCTTGGGGACGGATTGAAAAAAGGGCAGTGAATTCACAAGAAAAGCTAGGCTCTCTTACGTGTCAGAGGGGAAGATATAATTAATAATTAATTCACTTGAGCTGGAACTTAGGAGAATCGAGACTTAAGAAGGATTCCATCTAGAACAGTGTTTCTCAAGCTTGGCCACTTGAAGATGGGTGGACGTCAACTCCCAGAATTCCCCAGCCAGCAGGGGTGGGTGGGGGATTTTTGGGGGTGGCGTCCACCCCTCTTCAAATTGGCCAAACTGTGAAAAACTGATTTTTAAAAAAAGAACAGAACAATTTTTTCCC